AAGCAGAAGTAAATGTTTTTCTGGAACTCTCTGGCTTCCTCCATAATCCAGTGCGTGTTAGCAATTTGGTCTGTTTTGTTGACTATGAGGGCTGCTCCATTCCTTCTACGGGATTCTTGCCCACAATAGTAGATATGATAATCGTCTGAATTGAATTTGCCCATTCCCATCCATTTTAGTTCACTGATGCCCAGGAAGTCAATGTTTATTCTTGCCATCTCCTGTTTGACCACATCCAGCTTCCCAAGGTTCAAAGATCTTACATTCCAGGTTCCTATGCAGTTTTTTTTTTCGCAGGATCGGAGTTTCCATTCACTTCCAGGCACGTCCACAGTTGAGTGTCCTTTCAGCTTTGGCCCAACCACTTCAGTAGCTCTGGAGCTACTTGTACTTGTCCTCTGCTCTTCTTCAGTAACATGTTGGACACCTTCTGACCTGAGGGGCCCATCTTCCAGCATCATATCTTTTAGCCTTTTTTTCTGTTCATGGGGTATTCTTGGCAAAGATACTGCAGTGGCTTGCCAATTCCTACTCCAAGTGAATTGCGTTTAGTCAGAACTTTCCACTATGGCCTGTCCGTCTTTGGTTTCCCTGCACGGCTTAGCCCATAGCTTCTCTTGAGTTACGCTAGCCACCATGACAAGGCAGCAATCCATGAAGAGGATTCTACATATACCACTACTCTAATTGTGTAAGTAGACTAATGTTAGGAAGAGGCAAAGCTGGGATTGATTATAATGACAATAAAGCAAATGTTATTAACCCTGGGCCTTATAAAATTCCAAATAACTCTGCAGTCATTGTTCAGTCGCTGAATAGATGAGCTTGCAACAATTCCCAGTAGGGAGTACATTGTGAAACCAGTATTTATGAAAACCTCTGTTTATAAGTTACATATTTCAAAAGAAAACAGAGTCCAATGAGTGGCACTCTATAAATGAAATTAAATAGGACAGTGGAAGAATATGTGTATCAATAAAGTTTAAGCAGCAACAGGATAATTGTGATGTCTGACAAAGCAAGATGAAAGGTGGCAGACTGAAATTATGGCAGGAGTCATCACATTTCAATAGTGTTTAACAGCTAATTCCACAACTTTTAGTGTTTCATTTTCAGTTTTTCCCTTACTAGCTTCCTGACCTAACAGCAGCCTTCCTCTTTCAAAGTGGTAAACTGACCAGCGTGCCTACACCCCCCCTGAACAAAGTATATCTTTGTGATCTTTAATGGTCTTGCTTTCTAGTGCAGTAAAGATGTGGAATAAAAACAAATACCTGTCCTCTGTAGCTTGAAGGAGTTAGGATTTCCCCTAGGCCAAATTTCCATTTGAATTGCCTACATATACTTGAACATCAATGTAGCTCAATAAACAACTTGCTGTTTAAAGTACTGTTAGTAGAAAACACCACAAAATATGACAGTTGCCTTAAAGTGGAGAGGTGGGATTTTCATGGGGCTTCATAATATGTGCCCTCCAGAATATAAATCAAGAGACAAATTTATGACAAAGTGAAAGAGAAATAAATTTTTTAAAAAATTCATAGGAATTTTAGTGAAAATTCAGACCACCAGTTTGTAGTCTGGTTGCATCAGGGGCTGTGCTATGCAGCCTATATTTGTTGAAGTCTTGCATATTTTCAGACCTCTAAAGCTTTATGATCATCATATTATCTCTGCATTAGACATGCTCCCTTTCCAATAATGAGAACAAACTTGTCCAAAGAGCCTCGTGGTGCAGTGGTTAAACCGCTGTGCTGCAGCCAAAACTGTGCTCACGACCTGGGGTTCAGTCCCAGGTAGCCGGTTCAAGGTTGACTCAGCCTTCTATCCTTCTGAGGTTGGTAAAATGAGTACCCAGCTCGCTGGTGGGGGGCAATGTGTAGCCTGCATAATTAACTTGTAGACCGCCCAGAAAGTGCTTGAAGCACTATGGAGCGGTATATAAGCAGCACACTTTGCTTTGCTTTGCTTTATTCAAAGATACATATCATAAACAATGAAGCTTTTCAGATTTTTCCAAACAGATAGCTGTGTGCGCAGGGGATGCTGTGCGCGCAGGGGATGAGACCTAGTGAGCATATACTGGGAAAACTGGATCAGAATACCTCTATGTTTCCATGGGCAAAGCTCAGCTGCATACATCTATTCAGAAGGTAACAGAGACTGGAAAGATGATGATGGTGGTGATGGATCAAAGCCTTGGCTAAGATTATGTCTGAGTTCTAGCATAAGATACCCTTCCTCTTAACTAGTATGCTATCTCAACCCTTTGCCTTCCTAAACTGAAAATATCAAAGAGGCTGTCATGCAGAAAATGGAAGAGTTATTCTCTGTTGCTTCAGAGGGCAGGACTAGAATCAATAGGT